TATTTTTAAATATTTATTTCTTATTTTTAGTTATTTTTATTTATTTTATTTTCCTTTAAATAAAAGATCTTCTACTCGGCACTTGTGCTATTAAAAATTACTACAATTTGCTAGTTTTTAGTAAATTTTATTACAATACAATTTTTAATAAACTTGAATTTTTTACATTTTTATTTGGATATTATTTTGTTAGTATATGTTTATTAAGTGTAATTGAGATATTGCTCAATATTCATTCTATTTGATTTATTACAGTTTAGAGATTGGATTCAAGTTTGAAAAATTCAAATTTTATATGAAATTTTAAATTTTGCAAATTTAATCCAATCTATATTACAATATTAATAAATAACTATCTTTTATTAATAGTGTTACTTATATATAGTTCTTTTGAACTTAATGAATACACAAATATATATATATGTTTTTCAATTGGATTTAATTTTTTTTCTTGTTTATTTTATACCTATGGTTGCATCTGATTGATCTGAAGAATGAAATAAATATTACTAGTCATCTAAAAAATTCAATAAATTAAATAGTACACTTGAATGCAATTTGAAATATTGAATTTTTAGTTTGATTAATATATATTGGTTAGGTTAAACAATTCCTCAACCTACACCAAGTTGGTTTAAGTATACCACTTTATTAACAACTCTACTAAATAATATATAATAATCTTGTTAAAATAGGTCTTTTATCTTAATAATCATCAAAGCTTTTATATTAGTCATTAGCACCATCAGAGTTGTTCTAACAATGTTTTGATAGAATACTTTGTAGTTTTTTTTTTATAGTATTGGTGAATTAACTATATGCTAGTACACTATTGGATATAAAGTTATTTTATCATTATAGTTAGAATTGTGTTAGAAATTTCAAGTAAATTTCTTATATAATATAAAAATACTAGCATTCTAAAAGTTCAGTCAGCATTTTGAATTGAATATATGATTCATATTATAGCTTCATTATTACAAAATTTAAGTGATAAAAGTTTCATAAAAATTTACTCATATAAAATTATCATATATTCAAAATTACAATTATATAAAAACCTAACTTATTAAAACTTATGCAAAATTAAATTTATAGTAATTTTACAACTATAGCATATTGATATAGATGAAAATATCTAATTTTATGATGATTTAATATGATTAATTAGATTAAATAAAATTTGAGCCAATTATTTATATAATATGGCATTATTATTGAAAATAAAAGTAATTAGTCTAATAATGAATTGCTTAGGAATCAGTTATTATTATAAATTTTAGAAATTTTTGTACATATGTAAACTGATTACTTATAAATTTTTGTACATATGTATCTAATTACTTATAATTTTTTTTTTTTTTTTTTTTATAATTAAAGTCTCTATCTTGAGGATGTGATATTTTATTCAAGTTTTGTTAGAAAATAGATGTCTCTAGGGGCTCCCTTATATTGAAGGTTACAACTAGCCACATGTGTACTTTTGGTGCCTAATTTAAGTAGTCCACTTACATATTGCTATATAAGTTCTATACTAGTTATCATACCTGCAAGCTGACTAGGGGTTTTGCTTATTTAAACCCTCTGTATATGCAATTTTTCTTGTATTATAAGAACATCTCAAGGCTACACCCATCCAAGTTCCTGATACTTATTGTTACCCTTAGAACTACTTTATTCTTGATAAGAAACTTACTAAAGCCTTTATGTCCCACATATATAGACCTAGTTTTATACAACACGTTATAGTTATCTAACACTTGCAATTATAGGGTTATTTGTTTAACTACTATGTTACACTATTTCTACTCTTGTAAAGTTTACTAGAACTCTAGCATCTATCTTTCTAGCATCTTCTTCATCATCTCCTATTAGCTGCAACTCAGAACTGTCAGTCTCATTTCAGACTACCAATCCAGATGACCTGGTATAGTATACTTATATATCCTTTTCCTTTGGTGAATTCAGTGGCCTGGTTGGTTATATGCTCCTCTACACATATTTGATGTTCAGTTTTAATCTTCGGCTCCTATAAAGGTGTTTTGTGAGCTTCAACTGGTCTGATGGTATCATCAAAAGTTCATGCTACCTCTTTATTGAGAATTTTCAAGTGGGTTTCTGTCATCTCGGTTTCTTAGTCTTTTACACCTGATGGTCTTATTGTGGGTTTGCATCAAAGTTTCATGCAACACTGGTTAACATTCCTCTATGTACATATAACATTATACTTCATATAGATATCTAAGCTCCTAATGTCAGAGGACCCAACTCGGTGTATTTGGATAACAGCCATATGAGGCCAACTGATCAACAGAAGACAGTTACTGTAATACAGATATAATTTCCATATTTTTTTATAGATAGGATTTGAACCTTAGACCTGCCACTTGGAGAATGACAACCCAACTACTATACTAGGATTGCTATTCTCAATTACTTATAATTTTTTATACTTTTGTAATCTGATTACTTATAAATTTTGTATATATATACCTAATTGTAACTTTTAGCTTAATTACCTTGTTATCACTAATCATTATATTTTAACTAAATATTTTCACTCATATAAGTTACAGTTTTGTAATTTTATAAATGATTTAATTTGGGTCACCTAGTCTTTGAATTAATTTGGGTCTTATATTTTTAAAATTTATACAGATCATCTGGATTTATATGAGTTATCCAAATTAATTCTAGTCATTTAGTTAATTTAAGTCATCTAAATTTATATGTTATCTATATTTATTAGATCATCTAAATTTATATAGATTACCTAAATTAATTCAGATACCTAGTTGGTTGTAGATATTGATCTGACAGGTTATGAATTTAAAATTTAAACCCAGTTTAAATTTCTATTTTTAAGATAATTAAAGTTTTTATATATTATATTATATATATATAATATAATATATAAAAACATTAAAAAATTAAAAGTTTTTAATTGAATTTTAATGATTTTGAACTTATTAAAATTATCTTATTAAATCAAGTATTTGGTAATTAAATTATTTAAAATAGACCAATAGATCAAAAATTATTTACTATAAATTATTTAAATATATATATTTTATATATGTATATAGTAAATTTAATTAAATATTCAGAATTATTACTCTTTCTGCTAATCTTTTTTTACAAATTCAATCAAAACACAAATCATAAATAACTTAGCAAACAGTATAAAAAATATACAAAAAAGATTTAAAAAAAAAGAAACAAACAAGCAAAATATATAAGTAGAATATAAAGTTGTAGCAGAAAAAAAAACCAAAAGATACAATAATAACTTTTATTGCAAAATAAAGAAAATTTTTAAAAAATTAAAAATTTTTAAGAAACTATAGCTGTCTAAAAAAAAACAAACAACAATACATAATCAGTCATCTAAGCAAATAACAAGTAAACAAATACAATATATACAAATTTGGAAATAAACAATATGTACAACAAACAAACAAGAAAACTAGTAAATAAAGTTAAATATACAAAGTAGTCTAAAACAAAATTTGAAACATATAGAAGTTATACAAATACAGAATTTATTTAGATATATTAGCAATTACAAAGCAAAAGTCTTAGATACAACAAAACTAGCAAGTTTAGATAATATAGAGTTAATAGCAAAAAGTTGAGTTGTAAAAAATGTAAATAAAATTACAGTATATAATTTGCTTCCATATAATCAAATAATAACAGCTTTTAGAAAAGTAAACTGTATAGAATTACAAAACAAAAATATAAAAGAATATGCTAGAAAAATTAGAAATATGAGTTTAAATCTAAAATAAACTTCATAGTATATAATAAGATCACATGCTTTGGCCTCACTTTATTATTGGTGTCCAAATTGTAATACAAAGTAAAATATGTGTAATATAATAAAAATTTTATATATATATAAGGCTCTAAGATACAAGCAAATACTCTTTAGGCTGTTTTATTTTTGGTGTTCATGGTAAGACACCTCTAGAAACAGTAATAACGTAGTAGAATAGGAGTTGGAAGAAAAAAAAAAAAACAACATTCTTTTTATGTCAAATGATCAACCTGCTCTAGACAATGTATACTTGGAAGACCCTGACTTGAATGAAGTCCTTGATAATGAGGAACCAAAACTCTGGTTCCCTTCTGGAGATCTCAAAAACTTACCTACTAAATTCTATTCGGACTGTACACTCTCTAGATCTGAAAGACAGAAAATACTACATGATGAACCATGCAATGCTGAAGTTGATTACAAGCCTCCTCAAATAGAACCATATTTTCTATGTGCAATGTCGAAACAACAGAAGGAGTTTGATAAAACTATTAGAGACATCTCCTACTAAACTTCTGCAGTCCTACACCCTATTGACAACATTGAAAAGGTCTTATTTGAATCAAAACCATCTGATGGAGAACAGGAAGCCCTACAGGGGTATGAATTGTTACATAAATCTACTCAAAATGCTAGAGAACTTCTACGGGATGCATTATCATATGCTAATGATCTGCGAAGAGAATTTGCACTTAAAGCACTGTCTCCCGTTCATGTCCTAACAAAAGACAGGAAAGGTGTGTTTGGTGACAAGTTTAAAGATTTGGTCGAAGAAGAAAATACCAAATCAAAATTATATAATGATGCTAATAGAGAAAAACGTAAATTTTATTTATCTAATCAAACAAACCAACAATCTTATACTTATGCAACAAAAAGGTTTATCTCTCAAAATAACTTTAAACACCAAGAATAGAATAGATTTAGAGAAACAAATAAGGTGGGCAAAATTAAACCTAACCAGGGAAACTTCCAACTAGATGACCAGTGTGGCAGTTGTTCATAATATTATGTCCAATATCTGGTCGATTAAAATACTTCAAACAGAGTTGGTTACAGAAGTTCAGAAACTCATGGCCAACATCTATTGTAAAAAATGGTTATTTACCAGAATGGAACCAAAAACCCCCTTTAAGATTTCATTCTATAAAGAACAATTTTATAAACAATGTAGATATAAAATTAGCAAAAAAGGAAATCTGTTTTTTTACAAACACAAGCAATACAACTGTTTCTCAAGCAACTCTCTTGCTACATCTCCAATGTTCTCATAGTCAACAAGAAGGATGAGAAAAAGTGAGTAGTCTTGGATTTACGATCCTTAAACACCTTTATAAGGCACATCCATTTCAAAATAGAATTAATAGCTACAGTAAAAAGTTTAATCAGAAGAAACGACTACATGGCATTAATTGACATAAAAGATGCCTTTTTTTACATACTCTTACATCCTACTGCTCAAAAGTATTTTGTATTCAATTTTTTGGGACAATGTTTCTGTTTCAGGTGTTTCCTTTTCAGCTTAACATCTTGTCTCAGAATATTTATGAAAGTTCTACAACCCATAATAAAGATGCTGAGACAATCAGGAATACACATTGTAACATACCTGGACGACTTGCTAATAATGATGAACAGGAAAGAAACCTTGAAACAACACCTCAGGACTGTACAGAAACTTTTGACCAAGTTAGGCTTCATCATAAACACACAAAAGAGCCAATTAGTACCTACTCTTTCCTTAGAATACTTGGGATTCAAAATAAACTCAAGGAATATGACCATCATTTTCCCAAAGAAAAAGACAAACCAGTTAAAACGGAAGTGCAAACTAGTTTCAATGATGCACAAGATTCATGTCAGGAAACTGGCAGTGTTAGTAGAGAAACTTCTAGCAACTATAAATGCTGTATATCCAGCAAGGCTAAAATCTCAAGAATTATTAAGACTAAAGAACAAAGCCATAAGGACAGGAGGCTAGAATACCTCCTTTGAACTATTGGAAAAAGCAAAAAGACAGTTACGGTGGTGGGTAGACCAATTGGAAAATTGGGACAGACAGTCCATGATATCTGAAATACCATCAGTCATAATACATACAGATGCATCGCTACACGGCTGGGGCATTTACAGAGGAAAGTCATTGCTAAACAGGCTTTGGAATCAGGAAGAACAGAAGCTACACATCAATGTGTTGGAGATGAAAGCAATCCAGTTTGCTTTTATGATGTTCAACGACCTAACACAGAGATTGGTTCTGATCAAAACAGACAACATAACATGTGCAGCATATCTCAACCATCAGGGCAGAGTAGTATCACCAGAAATCAGCATGATAGCAAAATCAATATAGGAGACGTGTCTCAAAAAGAGGATCAAGTTGAGGGCTCAACATGTTCCAGGAACCCAGAATATAATGACAGATTATGCATCTCAACTTCGTTTCAACAAGAACGACTGGATGTTGAACCCCAAAATATTCAGCAAGATTCACAATTTGTGGGGCCCATTCAAGGTGGACTTGTTTACCAACAGACTCAATACTCAGCTACCAATGTACTATTCTTGGCACCCTGACCCAAAAGCAACAGCAGTAAATGCCTTCTTACAACCTTGTCAGGCATGACGAATTATGCGAATTCCCCATAAATATTGATACCCAGAATTCTATTCAAAGCTCAGAAGGAACGAGCCATGATGTGCCTAATAACTTCCCTATGGACATCAGTGAACTGGTTCTCATCTCTAATAGATATGACAATAGATCTGCCATGAATCTTACCAATAAAGAACCTTCTACTTCCAGGGCCAACATCAGGCACAATACCTCAGTTGAAAACAAATTACCAAATGTGCGCATGGCTTATCTCCGGAAGCGTCTCCAGAAGAAAGGCATTTCTCAACAAGCTATCACATTATATGCTAAAGCCCTTGACCCAAACTCAACCAGTACTGTATCATCAAACATACACACATGGACTTCATGGAGCACCGAAAATGCTAGAGATCCCATTAATTGCCCTATAAATGATATTCTACAATTCCTCACAACAAAAGCAAATGAAGAGAAGTCATACAATACTATTGCTGAATATAGGTCAACTATAAGTGAGATACATGAATACATCAATAACCGTCCAATTGGTCAGAACAGAGACATTGCCAACCTAATGTTAGGAATATTCAGAACAAACCCACCTGCTGAACCTGAGAATGAAATATACGATATTACACCCTCCTTGGACTATATTGTAGCACTAGACGACAATGACCATTTACAGTTAATATCCCTGGCAAAGAAAACAGCTTTCTTATGTGCTCTCTCATCAGCCTGTCATCTTTCAGACCTTGCTCATTTAGACTTAACAACCATCAGATTCATCACAAATGGCATTATTATTGAATGCATTAATCCAAAAGAAGCCAACATCATCATAGGTCATGAAATAAATAAAACCGTACCAAAAGGATATTTATTGGCAAATACCAGGACGATGTGGGGTTATGCCCAGCTACAGCCCTACATTACTATTTAGCTCGGATGAAAGAGCTTCAGCATTCTGAAGAGCAAAGAACTGCTATATTTTTATCTCATGTTGGTTCTCACAAACTAGCAGCAGTTGATACTATCACAAACTGGCTAAAGGATATTATCAGGAGGTTAGCCCCAGAAGGGAAGGCTAAAGACATTCGCATTCTATCAGCTATGTTAGCCCAAAATGCTGGTGTGGACCTAAACTTAATTCTGGCACTAGGTAATTGGTCCAACCTCCACACATATTAATGATTTTACCAACATGGCATAAAGTTAATGTTGGAGCAAAATAACATCACTGGAAAAATCATGAACCAAGCTAGAGGATTGTAGTTAGAATTTACTTTAAAGAAACATGTGATCTTATTATATACTATGAAGTTTATTTTACT